GTGTGTGATTATCCGGAAGTATTTCCCGAAGATCTTCCTGGATTACCACCTGATCGACAAGTGGAATTCCGTATTGACTTGTTACCAGGAACCACGCCAATAGCAAAAGCACCTTATCGATTAGCACCAACGGAGATGAAGGAGCTGATGATGCAACTTCAAGAGTTGTTGGACAAAGGTTTCATTAGACCTAGTTCATCACCCTGGGGAGCTCCGGTGTTATTCGTGAAGAAGAAAGATGGAAGTATGAGAATGTGCATTGATTACAGAGAGCTGAACAAGGCAACAATAAAGAATAGATATCCGTTGCCAAGGATTGATGACCTATTTGATCAATTGCAAGGTTCGAGCTATTTCTCGAAGATCGATCTTAGGTCAGGATATCATCAGCTGAAAGTAAGAGAGCAGGATATAGAGAAGACTGCGTTCAGAACTAGATATGGACACTACGAGTTCTTGGTTATGTCGTTTGGACTAACCAATGCTCCGGCAGCATTCATGGATTTAATGAATAGGGTTTGTAATCCGTTCCTTGATAAATCCGTGATAGTGTTCATCGACGACATTCTGATTTACTCAAAAAGCCAGGAGGAGCATGGCAGACACTTGCGAGAAGTGTTAGAAGTTTTGAAGAAGGAGAAGCTGTATGCTAAGTTCTCAAATGTGATTTTTGGATTCGTGAAGTCCAATTCTTGGGTCACGTGGTCAACCAAGAAGGGATAATGGTTGATCCAGCAAAGATTGAAGCTGTAATGAAGTGGGAACAACCGAAAAGTCCCACGGAGATTCGAAGCTTTTTAGGATTAGCCGGATATTACCGAAGGTTTATCCAAGGCTTTTCTTCGATTGCTACTCCATTGACAGCTTTGACCCACAAAGGAGCTGCTTATGCTTGGAGTGAGAAGCATAAAGAAGCATTCGAGAAGCTAAAGAAGAAACTATGCGAGGCACCGATACTTTCTCTACCCGAAGGAGTTGAAGACTTCGCTGTTTATAGCGATGCGTCTGGGGTTGGATTGGGTTGTGTTTTAACCCAAAGAGAAAAGGTGATAGCATATGCGTCTCGACAACTGAAAGAGCATGAAAAGAACTACCCGACTCATGATTTGGAGTTGGCAGCGTAGTTTTCGCTCTGAAGATATGGAGGCATTACCTCTATGGCACTAAGTGCAAACTTTTCACTGATCATAAGAGTCTCCAATATCTCTTTAATCAGAAGGAATTGAATATGAGGCAACGACGCTGGCTGGAATTACTCAAGGACTACGACTGCGAGATACTTTACCACCCCGGTAAGGCTAATATTGTTGCTGATGCTCTCAGTCGGAAAGTCAATCTTGAAAGGAAAAGGCCAAGAGCGTTGAGAATTGAAGTTGTCTCGACCATTGTGGAAAGTATAAAGAAAGCTCAAGAGGAAGCTTCTGAGAAAAATGACCGAAAGGAGGAACGTTTGGGTAAAACGTTGGTGTTTGGTACAAACGGTCATGGACTGAAGGTATTCCAAGATCGTATTTGGGTACCTAAGTCAGGAGGAATTAGAGATCTTCTGATGGAAGAAGCTCACAAGACCATGTATTCGATTCATCCCGGTAGCACTAAAATGTATAGGGACCTGAAACCCTACTACTGGTGGCCGACGATGAAGCTTGATGTTGCAAAGTATGTGGCCGAGTGTGTGACTTGTGCGAGAGTCAAGACACAACATCAGAAACCGTACGGGAGTTTAGAACCTTTACCTGTGCCTATGGGTAAGTGGGAAGACATTGCCATGGATTTTGTCACTAAACTGCCCAGAACAAAGAATGGTCACGACATGATTTGGGTGGTCGTTGATCGATTCACTAAGAGTGCGCATTTCATAGCAGCCAAGGAGAAATGGTCTATGGAAAAGCTTGCGAATTCTTACGTAAAGGAAATTGTGAGGCTTCACGGTGTTCCGTTAACAATTGTGTCGGATCGTGATAGTCGTTTCACCTCGCGATTTTGGAAAAGTCTACAAGAAGAATTGGGTACCAAGTTGTGTTTAAGTACAGCTTACCATCCGCAGACCGATGGTCAGAGCGAACGAACGATACAAACACTTGAAGATATGCTGAGAGCATGTACCTTGGAATTCCTAGGTAATTGGGATGAACATTTACCGTTGGTAGAATTTTCCTATAACAATAGTTTTCACTCGAGCATTAAGATGGCACCTTACCAAGCTTTGTATGGACAAAAGTGTCGTACGCCGTCTTGTTGGCTTGAGGCTGGGGAAAAGCAGTTTATGGGACCGGAGATGGTTCATCAGACTGCTGAAAAGTTGAAAATAATTAGGGAAAGAATGTTAGCAGCTCAAGATCGTCAAAAGAGTTATGCTGACAAAAAGCGAAGACCGATGACTTTTGAAGTTGGGGATTCGGTTTTGCTTAAAGTCTCGCCGTGGAAGGGACTTATAAGATTTGGTAAAAGGGGAAAGTTGAGTCCAAGGTTTATTGGACCGTTTAAAGTTCTTCAGAGGATTGGGAACCAAGCTTACAAGCTCGAACTACCAGAAGAACTAAATGGGATTCATAACACTTTCCATGTGTGTTATTTGAGGAAGTTCACGGGGGAAGTTCCCGACATGATTCCACTTTCGGAGTTGAGAATCGATGAGAACAAAAGGTTGATTGAGGAACCAGAGGCAATTGTTGACCGAAAGACTAAGAAATTGCGACGTAAGATGGTGGAGTTAGTGCTTGTCCGATGGAAACACACGAATGGGCCAAACCTCACCTGGGAGACGGAGAGTGACATGAGGAGTCGCTATCCGCATTTGTTTGTTGATGTGTGATTCCGGGGACGGAATCATTCTAAGGTGGAGAGAATTGTAACGCCCGTGTTTCTAGGCTTGCCATTTTTAGCAATGTAATAGTCTAGGTTAACCTTTGTAACTCAACTTGAAATAATAAGAATGTATTATTTGTGAATTATGTGAATTATGTGATTTATGTGTTTATTTTCTTGATTTTTATAATTTAATGAATTAAGAATAAAATAAGCGTCAAAATTTAAGTGTGAGATAAGCCCGATATCTTTGCATAAAGTTGTAGTGGTCGAAACAAGGATTTCGGAGATATAAGGAATGCCAAAATCCGAGTTATAACGAAGAAGTTATGACCTGTCGAAGTTTCGAGACAGAACCGACACGACGCCGAGTGACGTAAAATATGAATTTACGTTAGAGCGATATTTAGCCTTAGTGATCTAAACGAGAATCGAAGATCTCGTTGTTAGTATCAAAGCGATAAAAAGTTAGGCGAGAACGGACGTCGACGAAGAAGTTATGATTTAATAACGAAGTTTTCCTGTCCGAGCCTTCTAAAAATAAATAATAAAAATAAATTCAAAATTAGCCGACGGAGTCTAAACGAAAGTTGTAGATCGTAGTCTCACCTTTCCGTGGATATAAGGAACGTCGAAAACGGAGTTCGTATGAAGAAGATATGAATTTCCGAAGTTTATTAATTAATTTATAATTATTTTTCGGAAGCATTATCCGAAGGCGAGTCACAGATCTTATCCGACTTACGCGCCGCGTAAGTGAGTACGCCCCGCGTACTCCGAAAATGTCGACATCGCAGCAAGTGGCTTCGGATGACGCAAGCGCTTACGTCTCTGAGGCAGTACGCCCCGCGTACCCCGAAGTTACGCCCCGCGTAATCCCGAGGTTCAGCAACTATAAAAGGAGGTCCGAAGCAGCCGAGTTTTCTTTTACAAATTCTTCATTTTCTCTCATCTTTTGCCTCGATTTGCGTGCCGATTCCATCCCGAAGCCCTGGTAATATTCCCGAGTCCCGAAGCGAGTCCCGAGATCCCGAAGATCCCGAGAAGTGCGGTTTCCGAGCCGAAGCTCTGCCCGCGAGAAGTTCGATTTTCGTAGAGATCTTCCAGATCTGCAGAGGATTACTACTTCTGCAAGCCGTAGTGCTGCCCGATCATCTTCTGATCAGTGAGTGTGTAGTTACTTTCATTCCAACACAATATTATGAAGTATTTCCTATAAAATACGTGTTATGTGTATATATTTGGTTGTTATACGTGTGAGTGTATATTCACTCTCTTCTATCTTATAGATCTGAAGTATTCTCTATGAAATACGTGTTATGTGTGTATGCCTCATCTGTTATGTGAAAAATGTTTTGATTGAGCATGCTATACAGGTTTTGAAACTACGTATAAAAATGTATATTTTATCTACTAATATGTTGGGTAGAATATGGGTAGATAGTTGGTGTGTAATAAACAGATGAGAGGCCTCGTTGTTGTTTGATCCAGTCATCTAGCGGAATTTAGATGACGACCACGGACTTTTCTAGATAGTCATGTGGAACGCTAGCAGGCTCATAACCTGTAGGTGTTAATGAACTTGGGTGTTCATTCGCTGTATTCCATCCCCCCATGGTTGCCTTATTTGACTTATATTGCTGAGGAACCCCCGAAGCATGTGTAGTCGCCCCGATGAAATATTCTTAGACTAGGTCCCTTGTGTTAGTTATTTTAGGGACATAAAGTGAGAATAACGGGAATGGGTAACTGGGTTATTGTTGGTTGATAATAATTAATTTAATTATTTATTGTGGGTTGAAAACCCTATATGCTCACCAGGCTCCCAAGCCTGACCCACTCAGTTGATTTATTTTACAGGAAGTGGCGCAAGAGCTTAAGATGGGCAAACATCAAGTTGTTTTGTTTACAAGTCTGTATATGTATATATTTGTTGAAAGACTTGTAATGCTATCGTTTATGCTTTATGATCTGTATCGGAACATGACATCCCGACTTTTGATTATGAAATGAAATCATATTTCTTTATGAAATGTTTTGATAAATATCTATTTTATCATGTTTTGTTTTTGGGAACAAATTCCGCATCTCTTTTAAAATTAAAAGGATTTACTCTGAAAATTATTTTAAAAAGCATAAATGAAATCGGTCTTTTCTGGCCGAGATTTTGGGGATGTCACAATATACAAATATTATAAGAAGTAAAATGTCAAATCAAAGTTGTGAACTTTACCAAAAGAAATAGTTGAAGGGATCGCCTTATCGATAACATCTTGGAAGTTTGCAAAAGCGAAAGAATTCAAGGGCCCATTAAAACCAATGCACTTGTTTACTTTAGTGGTATATTGAAAAAACAATTTGTTTTGAATGTCAACAAACTTCATGGCATCATCAACATACAAACCAAGTGTTGGCTTATGAATGTAAACATCAGCATATTCTTCAAGTGCTTTTCCCAGTATAACATATGGTTTGTCCACAGTGCATTCAATTTTATTACCCTTCAAAAAACGATTAAATAAATAAGACACAAACAACTATATGATTAATATAATAGTGTATAACTAATAATATGATAAGTTGAAATCATTAAAAATGTTTAAAGCAATTATTTATAAATACCTCTTCATCCATTAAAATCATTCCGATTTGTCGTGTCTCGTGTGGTTTCGACCAAGTTGTTTGTTTCCAAAGCCGGATTATTCGCACTTTAATTGTGTAGTTGTCATTTGAGAGACCTAGATCATTAATCATTGTAATTTCTGTTGGATCCATGAGCTGTAAGATAAAAATTAAACATTCATTATATAATGGAAAAAATTGAGAATGATAAACAAATTAGATTTGAGAATAATAAGCAAAGTAATCAGGATACAATTTTTTATTTATTCCACTGTTTAGATAATTGTTTGTGTAAGTCATAAAATTTCTTCTCAAAATTTAAGTTGCATCGACAATTTTTGTAATGTTAGTATGATACATGGTTAAATTTAACAAAAATGACAATTCTGCCCCTGCTCATACAGAAATGACAATTACAAACACACAGACCACAGTTCATCCTCACCCGGGTTGATTAAAAAGGCACAAATAGATATCGATACAGAGAGATAAAAAATCGTACATCAATGCTATATACGACAAAGTAGAATCATATATGTTCACTCAATATAAGCAATAATATCTGGTCCACATATTACATATACACAACAGGGGCATAACAGTCCTTCTGGTCCACATCTTTCAAAGAATGTTGTATTGTGTTGTGATTATTATTTCTGGAGTGTCTAAACACACATTCAATTACCTGTCCAGGTTGTTTTTTCAGATTTGGTTGAACTTATATTCATCTAATACTTCATGTACTACATAGAAGTAATCTTTGTTCACATGCTCAAGAATCATATCCAAGTTCAATGAAAGAAGCGTTGATCAAAATGTAAAAATATCCAAAATCAAGAAGATTAGAGTCAACAATCAGGCACAATAAACTTTAGTTTTTTTCTGTATTATCTCCACATTCAACTACTTGGACAAAAATGCCCTTTTTAAGTCAAAAAAAATCGATAACCGTTTTTTTTTTTTGACATAAAGTGATATTCTCAATAAAGTTACAGTACGAAGTGAATTAAACAGTCACACTGAAATTGAAAAAAATAAGAAATAACCACTAACTACTGGTTTCTTGTATGGATATATGCAAATCAAGCAAAGCATCACAGAAATCCAACAGGAAATCCTAGCTACATACTCTGCACATATGAATACCATGTTTTTTGATGATCAAAACAATAACTAAAGACATGCTAGCAAACAACAAAGCTTTTTTATGTAAAAATATCCAAAATCAAGAAGATTAGAGTCAACAATCAGGCACATTAAATCTTAGTTTTTTTCTGTATTATCTCCACATTCAACTACTTGGACAAAAATGCCCTTTTTAAGTCAAAAAAAAACTCGATAACCGTTAAAATATTCACCTGTATTTCTTCTTTTCAACTTTCACAGAAGCTTAAATTTCAAATATAACATCAAAAAAATCAAAATATAAAAATATCCAAAATCAAGAAGATTAGAGTCAACAATCAGGCACATTAAAACTTAGTTTTTCTGTATTATATCCACATTCAACTACTTGGACAAAAATGCCCTTTTTAAGTCCAAAAAAACTCAATAACCATGTTTTCTGATGATCAAAACAATAACTAAAGACATGCTAGCAAACAGCAAAGCTTTTTTATGGTAGTTGGCATTACATCGAACAGGATGTTTTTTCAGATTTGGTCGAACAGCAAAGCTTTGTTGTGATTATTATTTCTGGAGTGTCTAAACACACATTCAATTACCTGTCCAGGTTGTTTTTCAGATTTGGTTGAACTTATATTCATCTAATACTTCATGTACTACATAGAAGTAATCTTTGTTCACATGCTCAAGAATCATATCCAAGTTCAATGAAAGAAGCGTTGATCAAAATGTAAAAATATCCAAAATCAAGAAGATTAGAGTCAACAATCAGGCACAATAAACTTTAGTGTGATTCTGTATTATCTCCGCATTCAACTACTTGGACAAAAATGCCCTTTTTAAGTCAAAAAAAAATCGATAACCGTTTTTTTTTTTTGACATAAAGTGATATTCTCAATAAAGTTACAGTAGGAAGTGAATTAAACAGTCACACTGAAATTGAAAAAAATAAGAAATAACCACTAACTACTGGTTTCTTGTATGGATATATGCAAATCAAGCAAAGCATCACAGAAATCCAACAGGAAATCCTAGCTACATACTCTGTGCACATATGAATACCATGTGTTTTGATGATCAAAACAATAACTAAAGACATGCTAGCAAACAACAAAGCTTTTTTATGTAAAAATATCCAAAATCAAGAAGATTAGAGTCAACAATCAGGCACATTAAATCTTAGTTTTTTTCTGTATTATCTCCACATTCAACTACTTGGACAAAAATGCCCTTTTTAAGTCAAAAAAAACTCGATAACCGTTAAAATATTCACCTGTATTTCTTCTTTTCAACTTTCACAGAAGCTTAAATTTCAAATATAACATCAAAAAAATCAAAATATAAAAATATCCAAAATCAAGAAGATTAGAGTCAACAATCAGGCACATTAAAACTTAGTTTTTCTGTATTATATCCACATTCAACTACTTGGACAAAAATGCCCTTTTTAAGTCCAAAAAAACTCAATAACCATGTTTTCTGATGATCAAAACAATAACTAAAGACATGCTAGCAAACAGCAAAGCTTTTTTATGGTAGTTGGCATTACATCGAACAGTTGGCGGACATTATACAAATGACCTTGTTACAATGTGTTAAAAAAAAGAAAATAATTGAAAATAAAAGGAAATGCATCACTGGGCATAATACTAACCTTATGTAGTTGTTGGGATGGTAATGCAGATTCTTAAAGACAATTGATTCCAGCGTGAAGAAGACGAGTCGTGCATGTATAAACGAAATTGAAAAGAAACGACTCATGAATGTATTATAGATGTAATAATAAGTAATTTTTGGAAATTATTACCTGCTATAAGTAAAGGACGAAGGATTACGCATGATTGATGCGATTCTAAATAGATTTCCAGTTAACATTCCATTTAAGTACAGGCCATACACAGAGAAGATTATGTTGAAAGAAACCGATATGATTTTAAAATCGAATCCTTGAATCCACCATGATATGATTTTGAAATCGAATCCTTCAATCCACCGTTGAATTCTGCTCTGAACGCCAATCCTTCAAACATCATAACCGATATGATTTTGAAATCGAATCCTTCAATCCACCGTGATTGAAGGCTAATCAGTTGGCAAACGTATCTTTGTTGTTCTGTATAAGGACTTAATTAAGGAAACAAATTATTTATTATTTATATTTTTATTATTATAGTAGATATACGTGTGTTCAACAATTTAGCTGCATTCCATGTGGCATTCTAATACATTTACACGTGGAATATTTGAAAAGTAATAAATTAAGAAAATGCCATTTGTCTAAACGCATAATAATTTGCCAAGTGTCAAAAAGATGTTGATTTATTAGGGTAGATTTTATATTTTTTGAAAAATGGCAATAAAAAGATAAAAATACAAAAAAAAAAACAAAAAAAAAAACAAATAATTGGAAAACAAATAAGAAAAAAATAAAAAAATAAAAAGATGAAAAAAATAAAATATAAAAAACGAAAATAAAAAATGTACATATACACGAAAAAATAGAAAACAAAAGGTAAAAAGGTTTTAAAAAAATTGTTGAAAAATAAAGTTAAAGAATGAAAATAAGTATATATATATATATATATATATATATATATATATATATATATATATATATATATATATATATATATAAAGAAAATAAAAAATGTACATATATTTATAAAAAAACCGAAAATAAATAAAGTATACAAAAAACGAAAAATAAATTTAAAAAACCATGTGGTGTAATTTTTTTAAAACTCAGAGACTAAATTTGAACTTTTTAGGACTGATTTTGCAAAAAAGTTAACCAACTTAACCATGAAATTCGTTAAGTGGGCTAGAGTGATAATTCTGCAAGAAAGTTGTGGCCACAACAATAAAAAAAATAATATTAGAGCTTTTTTTAATTACACGTTAAAAAATTAGAGCTTTTATAATATTAACTTAAGTAAGAACAGAAGTCTTTGATTTTTTGGTCAGCGATTGAAGAAATTGGAAGCCTTTTTGGTGGAAAAGAGTAACAAAGGCATCGATCATAGGAGGAAGTCATTCATACTCTTTAGGGTTAGGAATGTTGGTTTTGTAAGGTTTAACTAATTAAGTAGAGATTAATTGAATGATTTTTTTTACCATAATTAGATATTCTAATTACCGTTGTACCCTTTTAACTTATTTAATGATATATTATTTCTTCAATTCTCATTGGTACATACAATAATTACTAGAAACATTTGAATCTAAATCTCTATCTCTCTCTATCTCTCTCTCTCTCTCTCTCTCTCTATATATATATATATATATATATATATATATATATATATATATATATATATATATATATATTAAGTTTATTCTTTTATGTGTCGAATTTCTTTGAAAGGCTAAATACAGATTAACAATTGAAGGCACATATATAATATTTAATAAATACACAGGGTGTTCTTAAAATTTATATAAATTAACAAAAATTTATTAGAATTATAATTGTTAATATAATAATATAATAAATTGGAGACGAAATATTATTTACATAATTTATTACATATTTTAATATAACAAATGTGTTAGCGACTCGATCGAGACGGTCTAACAGAAGTTGGACTTTGTAAACATACTAACTATCTATAATTATTATGTATAATTATTATGATGGATAAAGTTTGATTTTATTGGCAACTAATAGAAAATCCGTATATATATTATATACCAATTAATACTTAAGATACTTTCTCACGTTAATTTTGATCTAAAACTTATACGAAAACTTGAAAAAGTTGATTTTTAAGGCAATTATAAAACAGGGAAACGTATTTTATCACTTAATCGATCTAAAACTTATATGAAAACGAGAAGTATGTCTTCACCCCGACCAACCATATAATATTGGGTAATATAGAAGTATGGGAGTCATTAGAGATGGAGCCATAATTTTAGAATAATGGGAGCAAAACTGAGATAACTTTTGTTGGCCAGTTCGACGTTAATTTTACTTTGATATAAATATTCATTTAAAGTTGTTATCATGTATTATTAAAACCTTCCATAATAATATATTAATACAATACCATTATAGTCATAAAAATGTTCTTTTCATTATGAGAAGCCAAATAACCATTACAACGTACGTGTATAAGAATTAAGGAAACGTGTATAAGGAATTGAAGAGTGCAAAATATGAAGAACCTTAACCCCTCTCGACGCCGTACTAGTAATTTTATGTTTTACTTTTTTGTATTAGACATTTATGTATGTATGTGTGTAAAAGTATTTATCAACGTGGTTTGTAGTAAATCTGCGTTTGTTTTGTTATAATAAGTTTTGTTTTTTGTATTATTGGTTTTTTTGGTAGTATATTAGTTAAAAACAAAACAGTTAAATTAACGACCATAAAAATCAAAATCTATGGCTAATTAATCTGATGGTTATTCATAACATGTGTATCCGTCACCAGTGACCATCATCTGTCACTCACAATTTAAACGCAAAAGCCGTTGCATACTAAAACAATAATGGAATTCTGTTAAAATTAACCATTATATTTATTTATTCTAATAAATAAAACCTAAAAATACAACATATCTATTTTTTAGAATGACTCTCTGACACACGATATTGTTTTATGATTACCAGGATTTTCCCTATTTTGATAAAAGTCAACTTCAATTCAAAATTTGAAAATACAAAATCTTATCCTAATAATATTTTCAAAATACATTATAAATTATTATATTTATTTTAGTTAACAAATTAATTCCGAATTGCTTGTAAGCAATTTTTTTTTTTGTGACATTTTCTTTATTTAATATAATAATTTTAAATACACCGAGTATAGCTTGGACGATTTATAACGTAATATATTATATGCCGTCGATTTTTTTCCTGCGCTACTGTTGGGAAACTGCTTCCCACATAGAAAAGCGACTGATTATGCCTATGTTTAAAGTGAGTTGATAATTCCATTTGAAACTTTTATCCATCCACTTAATCAAAATATATTTTCCTTTTATGCCCCTTAAAAACAACCCTTTTCCCCTTACATGATTTTGCCACATATTTCTGATTTTGATTCTTACATATTTCATTTGGAAACTCAAGATTTACCTACGTTAGTCTAACATTTTTTTTTTAGTTTAATTCGTATATTATTATATAATATTAAAATATAGCATATGTACATAACAGTAATATTGAAGTATTTGAAGCAAAAAATCAGATAAAAAATCATATGGATACGTTATAAATACCACACTGACGTATTATTATCGGAATAAGTTAAATTCCATGCATAGTGACATATTATTATTGGAATAACTTAAATATATTTTTTGATTTATTTAATATCATACCGTAAGTTAAAAATAATAAAAATAATAATAATAATAATAATAATAATAATAATAGAGGAGATGATACTTCCATTTGATATTTTTGTGATCCGCTAAATTCATTTCACCTTTTATATTGATTTTGTTCCGTTATTAACTTTGATTTTTACTTTTATGTTTTGTTTTATATTTACTAAAGTGTATATAAATATATTTTTTAAATAACTGAAACAAGCACTAAATAAAAAAAAAACATATAGATATGATATACCACATTAATATAGTATTATCGGAATTGGTAAAAATTTTTGTTTGATTTAATAAGTCTCATAACATACATTAATAATAAAAAACTATTAGTAGTACAATTTAAGTTGGTATCACGCTCACAAATAAAATAACGGCCACAAACCACAATTTGAAAAAATAGTTCTTGTGACATAATAGCATAGACGGATCCAAGGGGATCGCAGGGTAGCTCGGGATACCCCTCAAAAAAATTTCGGTAGTTTAATTTTTGTTTACGAATCTTTTAATTTTTTTTCGATATAATGTATATATACGCATCCCTTCAGTTATAACACAAAACAAATAGTAGAGCTACTGGTTAAGGTGTTGGTTTATTGAACTAAAGCTCTCAGGTTTAATTCTTTCTCCTTACATTTCTTTTGTCTATTTTTTTATTTTCCCAGCTATTTTATCTCACATCGGTAAACATATGTAAACTCAACCATTCATTTTTGTGTATTATATAAGCCTGCTATCATCATACTTCATTTGATGTCTATTTTGAATCACATATCGATTCAAGTATCAAAATATACTTCAACTTCATGTTTATATAACAAGATTTGAGGTTAGCTAAGGATTTGATTAAGGTTTGGGTTTAAAACCGAAACGGAACCAGGGAGAGCCAAGTACACCGGAAAAAAATTTTGGATTACCTGAAATATAAAATTGGGATACCCCTTTACTTTAGTATTGGCTTTACCACTGCATAATAGTGGTGGTAAAGATACATTCACCACATAAGATTTTGCCCTTTAAAAACATTCAAAAGAATGCATATAAAAATATACTAATTAACGCATCGTGAGAACTATTATTTTAAATCTCGGTCTGCGACTGCCATTTTATTTGCGACCATGATAGTTGTTTAGATTACACGAAGGTTGTCAAATCGAGAATCTACATATGATCGTTTTAGGGTTTGCAAGATCGAGATCGTTAGATCGGGATCAGGATCCTTAGATCCCACAAAACATCACATAAAAAGGTAACATGTCATACATAAAACTTTTTTTTTCATATATCATGGTTAAATAACTCAAAAAAGAAAAGTAACTGGTCATATATAGTGGTTAATGACATAGTTAAATAGCCAAAAAAAAAATATTAATACTACAAAAATAGCAATTCACAACCTTCATGTTGTTTGCTTTAACTATAAGGAGGAAATCAATAACAATATCAACTTTTGAAACTCAAATAAAAACTGTAATTTCTCAAGCTCTCAAGGAAAAATGCTTAAATAGTAAAAGAATATAAATCGAAAGAAATGTTCACCTTTATTGTTGAGCATGAATTATTGAAGAAAGAAATTAATAATAAGCCAAAGCTAAATCTCAAATTCTACAATTGATGAAAGTAAAAAAAATCTATGGTTGTTTAGCAATTTACAATTCAAAAAACAGTATAAGAATAATTATTCTTGATTACTCATT